GGCGCCGCTGCTGCTGGGGCACCTCCGCCTTCCTGTTCGCCGGCAGCAGCGGGACGTGAGGAGAGGGAGAGGGGCCCCTGCGGCGCGGTAGGGAGGGCGGCGAGCCGGGCCGCTGGTCGCCCCGTGGCGGAGCGGCTCGGGCGGAAGCTGGCGCCTCACCGGGGAGCTGCAAGCCTCAACGCGGCCCAGGGGCCTGGCGTGCGCTTGGAGGGTGCAAGACGGGGCGGTAGCTGGTTTGCTCTTCAGCATTGTAGGGAGCCGTGGGGGATTCTGTGCTCTGGTTCGGTTTCGAAATTAGCGGGAGTACGGCTGTCATGGGGTTCCGAAGGCTGCTGTCAAGTGGGGAAAGTTTTATGCCCCTGTTAACCCCAGTCCCATGGCAGTTGGCAGTGACAGGTCCTGAGGGGGACATCTGGTGTGATGTGTGATAAACTACAAACTATTTTTTTGTTTTGGGGGTGTCTTTCCTAAAAGTTAGCGTGAAGCGCATGTGTCAAGGACCGTAACTCAGTATAGCAGAACGCTCAGGTTGCAGTCGCTCAGTGTTGCCCTGTGTTGCAAGTAAACGGTATGTCGGTTTCACGTAAGCAAGAAGCGTTGACTTCTTCCCGTGCTAAATCATTCCTCCTCATTAAATTTGCCACGAGAAAGATTGCTTTAGGTGGCAGCTAAAGAATGAAGGCTGGTTTTAATTTTTGAAGGGCCTCTCCCTAATGCTTGGCGTGGGACTGCGTTGCTTTCATATAGTAGGTAAAATTCACTTACAGTAAATCCAGTTACAAGATGGGCTGCTACTGTATGCTGTCTCCTGTCAGGACAATAAGAAACAAATTGCAGATCTGGTTTTGATCAAGATAAAAAATAAACTGGATAAAGGAACACTAGCTACTGTGTCCTGTAGAGACTTGCTGCAAAACCTGCCTGAGTGTCTTCTTCCTGTAATAACCAGGGATATTACTGAGAGCAGGGAGAGACAACAGGAACCTTTTTTGAGTGGTTTGCTAGCGTTAATGAAAACTTAGAATGTTTTTGTTACTTCTCACCTGTTTTAATGGCTTTAAGTACCTTTGCAGTTTGTATATTTGTTTTACTTTTTCCCTTGAATACACACCTATTAAAGGGTTTTCACGAGGAAGCACACCTTTTGAGTCAACACAGCTTAGAAAAAGTCGTCACTGAGTGGCGCAGTGACACTGGGCAGTGATTACATGTAGCATACATTGACTTTTAGTTTAGATCAGTTTGGTTTTTTGACCTATCAGTTCTTGTGGGTGATGCTGTACAGGAAACAAAGTGATTTGATAGCTCTTGAGCTAGTAGAGGAAAAAGAGCACATCCTTGGTAGCCGCTCATGTAGGTACATTGGTGTTTCCTTTGCATTAGTAATTAGAGACAACGTCTTCAGGAAAAACAGTGTGCAGGTTCTCGTATCCTCAGATCTCCTCAGTTGGAACTGTAGACTTGAGAAATCCATGTGTTGGCAACTGCCAGGCAACTTCCTGACTAGCCTGTTGGAGGAAGACCAGAGCCACTAGTCATGGTGATGTCTGTACTCTATTTAGCTAAGTCTGAAGTTTGACAACTTTCCCAGTATACTTCTGGTAACTTATTTTAGAAAACTATATGCTGATGTGACTTACACCAGCCAGACTGTGGTTTGGGAAATGTATGTATTTTACAAGCTTTTGACAGTACTGTGACATTTGTGTTGTAGCCTTGATCTGACCTCAGGTTTGCGGTGGAGCAGTAGTTTGTCAACTTCTGTGGTGGCAAGCTGAAGCAGTTGTGCTTTTCCACTCTGTAACTGGACTCAGATGCAATTATTGTATGGTGGGAAGAAAATCCTTCGGAGGGCTGTCAGTTTTCAGACTTCTGTTCTTGGTTTGTCATGTGCTTAGTGATAAAAAGCAGGGTTTTGTATGTTAATGTTAATTGCTTTAGAACTGTAAACCAGATTTTCTATGTTTATGTTAATGGTTTGTTGATAACTGTAAATCAGGTGATTTATATGTCATATAGCAAGTGTACATTCGGTAGTAACTGCTACAGTTTCATTATTTGCCCTGTGTTAGAAATACAATGCTGCATCCTCTGTATGTGTTCTGTTTTGCTGCTTCAAATGCACAAAACAGAAAAGATGGATGAACAGAAAGGCACAAAGCATCCTTTGAATAACTATCCGTACTGGTATGAGGCTGATGGTTTATCAGTGTGGACCATTTTTCCCATATTGATCCTGAGGACAATAAGATGTCATGCTAGATAGGGCTTTTGGTGTTTTGTTGATGAGAGATCTGGAACTAATGGGAAAAGTGGATAAAGGAATGGGGAATTGGTACTCCTGTTTATAGACTTCAAGATTTATTACAGAAACATCTGAAGCTCCTGAACCTGTATGGAAGTTGGATATGTTGTCAGAAGCTGAATGCGCTTCTTAATTCTGTAAGAGCACAGCTAATTCAGCAGTTAGTGCACATGAGCAGCTTTTGATTTGAGAGAGTTTGACTTGTGTAAGTACAACACGGTGGTACATAATTGGCAGAAATATTTGTATGTGGAAAGTGAAGGAGTTGGAAACATGCAACAGTGGTTTTTCCAGTTTCCTGGTAACTCTGCCTGTGATTGTGAAGTAAGCTGGTATGGTGAAAATGGACAAAGCTACTTGTAGAAAGCATTTTTATAGATCGTAATGGATCATATCTTTTGTTTTGAGCCTGCTTTAAAATCTTCTTCATCAGTATTAGAAGAGATGATCTCAAATCAAATCTTCTTTTGAATCGATGCATAAGCCCTCTGCCTAATAACTAGCGATGTTTCATTTGTGTGCATACTGGCTTGGTTTTTAGTTGATGCAAATCATGAAGCGTTTCCTCTCAAGACATGGTGGTTCTTGATTTTTCTGGTCCTTTTGTGTTTACTAATGTGATGGGATGGTCATGATTTGATTCCAAGCTTCCAGTGCGCTTTTGAAAATATAAGTCATGATTGGATTTATCTGCTATACATGTTTGCACAGCAACACTGCTCCTATAGGTAGTATGTTGGGAAGATGTTCTCGTGATCGAGTTATGCCAGGTGTTTATATCATGTATTTGAGAGGAAAGATAAGTTTTGACCATCCAGTACTTTTTTACTGCTTTCTGGGGAAGGGGACTTAACAAAACTTTGTCTATTAATATTGGCAAATGTGTAGTCCAACCTAGTACATAAATGCTTCTGTTTAACTGCAACTGTTTTATAAATTTATTCTGCCTGTGTTTGTTCCATAAGCAGTTGTTTGGAGGCTCTGCAGATAACGAAATTAAGCCTGTGGTGGGGATGCAAGGAAGTAGTAAAATATCTTTTTGTCACTCTTTGTAGTTTCTTGGGATAGCAGAGTAAGCAGCTGCAGTGGAAGATGGTGCAAAACTTTGACATGCATGTAAGTCTCTGTCTAATCTGTACAGGATCATTTAAGCAAGTTATCAGAAAGTGCAGGCCTGTGTGTGTAGTGTCACTGATAAAATTCTGCTATTCTTTACATTAGGTAACTGAGCTCATAAAGCTTGACAGTACAGGACTTCGAGTATGTGTCTACATTAACAGATTAACCCATCTTGTCTCAACAGGAAAATGTTTATTGGTGGCCTTAGCTGGGACACTACAAAGAAAGATCTGAAGGACTATTTCTCTAAATTTGGTGAAGTTGTAGACTGCACTCTGAAGTTAGATCCCATCACTGGGCGATCAAGAGGTTTCGGCTTTGTACTCTTCAAGGAATCGGAGAGCGTAGATAAGGTAATGAAACAACATGTTCAATTTTAGGTAGCAAAGATACAGCACTCAGATGATTGTGTGCTTAGTTGCTTGTATATGATCTGTTAAGATGATTCTCGGGTACAGTACATTTAAGATGCTTATTGAAACTTTTTTTTTTCCTAAACCATCTTACTCGTGATGCAGTGGCCAGGACCAGCAATGATGATTCCAAAAGTATGGCTTTGGCTACTTAGAGGGGAGTGCATTGTAAGCCACAGGACTCAAGCACTTTAAAAATACTCTGTATAAATGCCTGCTGCCTACTACTGAAACCAGAAATTTACTAAGCACTTAGTGTTTGCATTCTAGAGCTGCAACATGAACCCCTAGAGTAGAGCCAGTGGCTTTGATAGATTTGGGCTTTATCCAAGCAAAAATTAGCTGTTAACCTTTCTAAAATGCTGTTGACACAGCACACTGGAGTTTTTCACCTTCATTGACCTTTGGTGGTATCTGAAGTATGGATTCTTCATCAGGTTTGAGGATGGGATTGTCCATTTTCTCAGCAGCATTACACTCTTAACTTCCCTTGGATGATACTTGGCTCCAGGTGACTCCTGAAAGGCTTTGTCAGAACTGTTTGTGTCAGTGGATAGTGATCAGAATCATGGAACTGTGTTTGGGTTTGTGCCACAAATTATTGCTCTAATGAAGGTATTGGAATTGAAGCGATAGCATTAACAAAAAGTATAAAATAACTGGGCCTTGCTCAAAATGTTAGTGAAACGTTTAGCTTGAACTGTGACTAAGATCATGTTTTGATTTTCTACAGGTCATGGACCAGAAGGAACACAAGCTGAATGGAAAGGTCATTGATCCAAAAAGAGCTAAAGCCATGAAAACAAAAGAACCTGTTAAAAAGATTTTTGTTGGGGGCTTATCTCCAGACACACCTGAGGAGAAAATAAGGGAGTATTTTGGAGGTTTTGGTGAGGTACGTGATGAAATAAACTGCTTATATTTGTAGAGCTTGTTCTGTCTTTGCAAATTTAGTAACAAAAATCAGCCCCCAAAAGCAACCTGGCATGGATGCTACTCTAAGCTTAATGGTCAGTGTAGCTCCATGTGTCTTAGAATTTTAATGATAAAGGTATTAATTACAGGCTTTGGGTTGCATAAACTGACTGACTGGGGTAACTCAGAGGGTCAGGAACTGATTCATGGGATGTCTGACAGTCTGGACTGTGATGGGCACGGGATGTTTTTGAGCATGCTGCTTTGGTCAGTTGGGTAAGATGCTCTTCAGCCACCCCAGCTGATCTGCTGTGGCACAGGTTCAGACAGTTTGCCTAAATAGTGTAACTTACACTCTGTCTCTTGCTGTCCCCAGTTTTTGGTGGTGCAGATGAACAAAATATCACTGCGGTCCTTAAAAGCTAGCCTTGTATGAGCTTGGTACAGCTGCTGCTTCCCTGTTAGTTCTCAGATGTTGCCAGCATCAGTTGTGGCAACCCTGTTGTTGGGAAATTTGGTTGTCAAATACCTGCCATCTTACTGCCTTAAAGACAGTTCACTCTAGACTTTAACTACTCTTTGCCTAGACTGAAGTCTCATGTGCCATATGTAAGGAGAACTTTACTCTTTGTAGTTAGGTGTAAGATTTGTCCTGTTTCACATACGATTGTATAAGATTTGTCCTGTTTCACATACGATTTTAGTAGCTTTGTAGATGAACAGAACTATGTACTTGGACAAAGCTACATCTCTTTCATATGAAACTTGAAGGTTTAGATCTGCTCAAGGTTTGAAATGCCTAGTTACTTAAGTCTTAACCAAGTTAAAACTGAAAGTTAGACTATTTATCCACCAAACTGAAATACTCTTTGTGCACCATATTTTGTATGAGTTCCTGAATGGGAAATGATACTGTGAGTTAGAGGAAAAAAGTATTTTACACAATTATGAACACTACTTCTAGGGAAGATTATGTTTGTGATGCTGATGGTGATGGTTTCTAGTGATGTAAAGCCCTAGAAAAGGAGGCATGTTATCGTATTCAAGTCTGAATAATTTCAGTTAAAAAAATAAAACCTGCTAGAACTAACATTTTTAAGTGCCATGAATTGCAGGATAAAAGATAAAATCACTGTATTCTACCAGGTTGAATCGATAGAGCTCCCTATGGACAACAAAACTAACAAGAGGCGTGGATTTTGCTTCATTACTTTCAAGGAGGAGGAGCCGGTGAAGAAAATAATGGAAAAGAAATACCACAATGTTGGGCTTAGTAAAGTAGGTGGATTTTTTCCTAGAGAGACTGAACAATGGTAATAGAGGGAGTAACATTATTAGTTGTATCTGTTTGGGGATAATAGTATGAAAATACCTGTGAGCATTATTTCTCATATGTAGGCATTAAGCCTATGAAGTATTTATATAAGTGCTAGGAATAGGATACTGTAATCTTAATTTCTGAGTTGAGGGGGTTCCCGTTTAGGTTTTGTACTGCACCCTCTGGAGAAGAGGGCTGGACCACAGCATGTTTGTTTGTTGTGAAGCTCCCACATGCTCTAACTGTGTGGTCAAAGTGTGTGTCACTGACCCGCTCTGTCAGCCTGCACCATGTTTTCCTGGTAGCTGAATCTTTGTGTGTTTAATGTGGAAATATTTTGTTGTTATAAGCAAAATTTCAGTTTGTCACAGAATGTTTCCAAAACTGAAATGAAATGGGAAGTTAGTCTTTCCTTATAGAGGTTAGGTTCCTTTCAGAAACCTGGTTGAAATTCAGCCTAGTAGCAAAAGCTCAAATTATCGCTGGCATCTTCTTCATTGGATGTATATGTAGTGGAAGCTTCAAAACAGAGTTGAGTAAAAATGTTGACCATACTATTGTAACTCAGATTTGATTTCACTTTTCCCAGATATATAGACCTCAGAGGTCTATTTCAAAGGATAAACAGAAAGCCGTGCAAAGAAACAAGCATTCGTATCAGAATTGGTTCTACTGGTGGAAAATTAGGAAACTTAAAATGTTTTATAACGCCAATGTCTTAGAACTGTTTTTCATGTTGGAGAGAGTAAGCTGCCCCTTTTTTTTTTTTTTTTTTCCAGGGAAAGCACTAGGATTACCAAATCATATTTTCTGCTTAGTGTTCTGTGAGTTTAAGAATGGTTCGTGGAGGTTATCTTTGCTAATTGGATTTGACTTTACGTTTCCAGTGTGAAATAAAAGTAGCCATGTCAAAGGAACAGTACCAGCAGCAGCAGCAGTGGGGGAGTCGAGGAGGATTTGTGGGAAGAGCTCGAGGAAGAGGTGGAGGTAAGCTTGTGCTGCTGTTGTGTTGGAAGGTGAGGGGCTCAGCTGAATGAGGACAAGTCTCCTGCAGCTCTGAGTTTTGGCACATTGTATTGCAGGCCCCAGTCAAAACTGGAACCAGGGATACAGCAGCTACTGGAATCAGGGGTATGGGAACTATGGCTACAACAGCCAAGGGTATGGAGGTTATGGAGGCTATGACTACACTGGTTACAACAACTACTATGGCTATGGTGACTATAGCAGTAAGTACTGAACTTACAAAAAGTCCTATTCTGCTGCTTGTGAGAGAATTGCTGCTACAGATATAAAAGATAGATGACTAAAACATAGTGGTTTAGGCTTTCAGCTGTCTTAGCTGCATTTGTCTTATATATGGGGTCCTTGATTTCAAACACCCTACTGTCCCCACTGCTCTCGCTTCGCTCTGTCAGGTGTGCATGGACGCTTGTTATGTCGTGGGGCGGTGATACTGCTGGAAAGTTCCTGGGAGATGAGAGTGTGTTCCTTAATTTCACAGCACTGTTACTTGGTGAGAGAGAGAGAGGGCCCCCACCCTTAAAAACCTCATGTCTCTTTATAAATCTGCTCTCTAGATTCTTTGGGTTCCTGAAGTGGCTATCTTGGCCAAGAACAGAACATAAATCCGAGGAATGCAGTGATGGCGTGATAAATGTTTAAACTGCTCCTCTACAAAAGGCTGTAGTTACTGTGGGGGTGATGGGGCTGTAAGCTGAGTTCGGACATGCGCCGCAGGCAGCTCTACGTTTACACACTCATGAAGAGTGTAGGCAGTCTGTTTTCTGGGGGCATTTTCCTGCCTGCAGGTAAATTTGCTCTGTCTCAGGATGGCAAAAACTATGTGATGTTTTGGAATAAGCTAGGATTTTAGTGAATGTGGTGGTGGTTCTCTCAGATGCTGTTGAAGGGGTGGGTGTAAATCTTCATACCCCAGCAAAGCTGAAGTTGTGGGCAGGGTGAAAACGGTTTTTGAGTAGTTGCATGTTGCTTAGGAGTTGGGGTGAGGGAAGCTGGCTTTGAAAGCTGCCTGAGCTGGTGGCATTGATGTTTCCTTCTGAAAGGCTGTAGGCTCTAGAGCTTTCCATCTGATAGCTTTCTGTTATGTTTAGATCAGCAGAGTGGTTATGGGAAAGTATCTCGGCGAGGTGGTCATCAAAATAGCTACAAACCATACTAAATTATTTCGTTTGCAACTTACCCCAAACAGGTATGTCCTAAATATCTACTTACAACCTTTTTTTGTAATTAATAGTAATTTTTCAAATCTACTGCATAAGATACTTGTAATGATTAATGTTTTAAAATTTCACAGCACCCAGACGTGCTTACCGTAATGTAACATAATGACTTTGAAGATATATAACACAGGTGCTCTTAAGCTTTTGCCTTTTGCCCTATAATTAACAAGTCAGTAAAGTTAACAGGTAAAGTACTGCTAATGGGTACAAATTAAGGAATTGCAGCGAAACAATATTGCCTACTAACTCTGACATTATACCTTGTTTGTACCCGCCAGCGGGAACTTCCTTGCAGGCCCTGTGTCGCGCTGACTTCACGATTCTCACAGGCCCGCTCAATGCGGACAGGGTACGAGATGCTCACGCTCTCGAATGCTGCCGTTTGGTATGGTCTCTTCCAACATCCTGTATCAGCATTATAAAATAAAATGGATACTTCAAGCTTTGCCTTCACTTATTTCTTTGCTTTTAAAACTATATGTAATGTAATTTTAATGCATTTTTTACAGGCCCAGTAATGGTTAAATACGTCAGCTTACTGAATAATTTTAACTTTGTTCTTCTAAGGATACAGCTTGTCTCTGGATTTTCCAGTCTTAATTTTATATTTTATTAATCTATTTTAATGCTTGCTTTTCCCATTTATAGACATTGTAGCAGTAATTGCAAGAAGTTCTTGAGCTGAATTCCTGTTGTGTCGACTTCTCCTTAGCTTCTGAACACAATCCTACTATAGTAGTTACGAAACTTTTTCTTTTAGTTGTATTTTCTTAATGGATAAGCTAATAATATTCTATAGTGGGTCGGCACAATTCTTAAATGCAACTTTTGGGCCCAAAAGGCTCATCCACCAAAATAGTTTTGATGGTGGTTATGGGTATCATAGATGTTCTGTAACATCTAAGACTTGAAGCATTTTCTAAGTAAATTTACAGCATACAATATAAAACTTGTCTTAAACATTGGTGGACATGTGGATTTCCAGCTCATGGACTCTCCTGTTCAGCTTTAATTTAAAAAGCATATATTTACATGATTAATGTTGATATACAATATTTACATAGAGTGGGAAATAGGGGTATCTAAAATACAGTTGTCTGTTAATAAAAAAAAAAAAAAAACAAAACCCACAACTTTTTTCTGCTGGCTGTCAATTTCCACAGAATGACTTTTCTCTCTTTTCTTTTTTCTAGGTGGAGACACGCGGTATTTTCTCATTTGAAGATTCATTTGAGGTGGCATATGCTACCTGCTAATAGCAGTTCAAACTAATTTTTGTATCAAGTCCCTGAATTGGAAGTAAGACGTTGGGTCCCTCTGAAGTTTAATTGAGTTTCCATTAAGACAAAATTGCTTTCATGGTCTTATTTCTTGATTGCTATGCTTAAGAATCAATTTGTTTTATGCCCCTTCCTCAGTATTGTAGCGCAAGTCTTGTGTTCAAAAGCCCAGTGTGACAGTGTCATGATGTAGTAGTGTCTTACTGGTTTTTTAATAAATCTTTTTGTATAAATGTGTGTTGACTCTTTGTTGCAAGACCAGAGGCACATGCAAATTTGAATGGGAAAAGCAGTTTCTGTTTTACATCAGGTGTTGGTATTGTGTCATTGAAGCAATGGGATTAGTTAGGAACTACTTGATTATAAATGGGACTTGTTTTCCGAAACCAGGTCTCTTCTTGCTAAATACCCTATGTCATAATTTTTTTTTTAAAGTGTGATACAGAAACAACACTTAACTTAAAGGAATACTTAATAGTAGCTTGGCTGCAGGAAGACGAGAAGGGGATAAAGGACCGGAATTAATGAATCCAACCTTCCCTGGGCAAGAGCAAGTAAGAGTTGGGTGTGTTACTTAGGAGGAGGCAGGTTGCCTGCGAGGAGTGAGGATTCTACAAGCTGGCAGGCTGTATCAAGCTGTGGCTCCTGTTTCACGTGCCCCATTGCTGTGTGATATTAATAACAAAATTACTGGGCAGTGTTAATGGGTGAGTTTTGGAAGGCCTCCTGGGCACTCTGCACAGGACAAGTCTGCTACTTGGCTCTACATCAAAGCGTGTAATAATGCTCTGAACTTGAATGGCCAGGGAGTTCCTCAGACTTGGGTGACTCAGGATCCACACAAAGGTCAAGGATTCTGTATCTTAGACTACTCTGATTCAGAAAATATGTAGGAATTTTGCCTACTATTTAGCAGCTGTCATAGTCTTAGAAAATTTCCAACAGCATATGATATGGAAGTAACTGAGATAATCAGTAAGTTCACACTGGATTTTAATTACATTGGAACTTGATCACTTCTCTGTTGAAGCAGCAGTAGAAAATAATGCAGAAAGATACATTGTGGGCAAGCTGCTGCAACTGCATTTGAGTCTATACCTTTCCATCCATTCAGATGGCAGGCCTGCCTTTAAACTGCCCGTTCTGCCTCTGCAGCAAAAGTACTAAGAGCTGTGACTGTGAAAGGTTTCCAGCCAGAGTAGGTGTTAAGCAGTCAAAGCTGTAGGGAATATCAGTGTGTGGTTTGATGGCTAGGTTGTACCTCTTGGGGTGTGCAACACCCTGTCCTCGTAGCAGTATCTGCTGGTGCTGTGAAAGGTTAGGTACAAATAGGAAAAAGCAGAGGTAGTAAAACCTAGAACTGGGAGGGAAGGTTAGTGGCCAGCTGGTTTGAAAATGAACTGGTGTTTTGTGCACAGTGATTCTATGAGCAAATGAAGGCACAAGGAATGCTGTGACTGAATGGGTCACATGAGATTACTCATTTGCCTTTATGGCCCCTTCAGAAGAGGGGACTCAAGCATGACCTATTGCATAAGCATCTGCCATTTTCTTTGCAGTAATAGATGAAAATTGGGTTGTTTGCTTGTGGACTTTGTTCATAGTGAGTGGAATCCCCTAAGCAGGGAGGGAATTGTCACTTGGAATTGCATCCTACCGCTTGCAAACAGCTGCCAGTCTCCAGTCCTTTTTTAAATCCTTAAGCTTGGTCCTTGTAGTGCTTAAATAGGACTGAAAATGGGTTGATTGGACAAGTATGAGATGGATTTATGTGCTCAGAACAGCTTAATAAGTGTGGGGAGACAGTGTACGTACTGCTTCAGCTTCCTGCTGTTTAACTGGTGTTTTGCGATGCTTGGCTAGAAATTGCCATGAATTCTTTGTATATGGAGATTGTAGGATATTCTACGTTACATGCCAGCAGTTACTAATAAATGTATTAAGCCCTTATATTTTTCAGTCTTTGTCTAGTTCTCAGGTGCACTTGATTATAGGAATGTGATTTTTATCTGTAGTCTCTGTTCCTTTACTCATGATGTGTGAAGGTTCTATTCCCTGCTAGGCATGTTCAGCACACACTGAGTAGGGGTTAATGGTCAGTGCATGTAACACTGGGTTGTGAAAGCAACTCCTGTTCTTGCTTACTGACTGTGTCCCTGAACACCCTGAGCTGTGCTTAAACTTCTTACGGAAAGAAGCTCAGCTCTGCTGCATAGACGTACTGAAGGAACGTCCTGAGGTAACATTTTGTATCTCAAACTGCAGCTGGGGAATGCCCTGAATACCATATTTGTCTCATTTTTGGGGGTAGGGATAGGTTGTGCAACACAAACTACTGCTCAGGTGGTCGGTAAGGCTACACCCAGTTGAGCAAGGAGAGCAAGTAACATGCAAGTATTGAATTTACTTAGGTTCTCATCTTAGAAAAATGGAGCTTTGTTTTGAAGTCTCACAAAAGCAGACATCTGAATACTTCCTTGACAAATGGGATGGAAAGAAGAGCTATCGGCTTTCTCTTAGTGCAGCATCATTATCACTGTGCAGCTTTGCTGTCTTGCTGCTTAAGCAACAAAGTGTTCTTTTAGCTGAGCTGTTTGGTTCCCAGATGTATGGAGAGTTAAGCCCAAATGGTTCTCCATTTTGTCTCTTGTCAGCAACGAGGAGGAACGTTTCCTAATGACCTTGGGATTTCAGTCTTGTAAATTGGAATTTACAGTTTCTCAGCCAGGAGTCACCATTGGCAAATGATGCTTTCACCATGCTGCCTTGCTTAGGAAGAGCGTAAAAGGGTAGTTAAGTTGGGTTTGTCACTGCTCTGTGCTAAATTGTGGAAGCCCAGGGCGAGTTTTCGCTTCATATGTCTATCAGCACTCTTAAACTTTGTGCCTGAAGTTAGAGACAGCAAAATTCCCTACGCATCTTTTTAAGGTAACATTATCAATGTAGTTCTTCAAAAAGAACCAGCAATTTGTAATTAAGAGACAGAACTTAGGTCTTTCCTTGCTGGAGGGATAATGCTTCAGTGTGTACAAACAGGCATAATCTGTTGTGCAGGCTGGTGATGTCAGTTTAGAAGATAATAAAACAATTGAGTAGGATGTTTCCATGGACAGGCCTGACCATTTCAGTTGCCCAGAAACTGGTAGCAGCTTCTTCTTTTTTAAAATGAGTTTTAGCTGTAGCTGGCAGAGGATTTATCCAGTTACGCTCACCAAGTCAGACTTGACTTTGATATTTGAATTATTAAAATAATGCCAAGAAGGCACACTTGATGGGAGCATCTAAGCGTTCCTTACTGAACAAAGCACAGGGTATTTGTGTTGCCGCTGATGTTTAGAGATCATGTGAAATATTGGGATTGTAATGGGTGCAAGGAGGCTGCGTTAGCTGTTAGCTTCTGCTTGCTGAGGTCTTCCAGCAAGCCATCTCCTACAGCCAGGTAATTGCAACTAATTACAAAATAGCACCCTGTGTGTGTGGGTCTGGAGTGTTTACTTTTTAATGGGAAGCAATGTGACTGTTATTATCTGCTGGAGATAATTATCTTGTAGGTACAGCAAAACTCTGCCCTGGTTGCTGCAAATCACTGGTGAAAAGCAGAGAGGCAGGGAAGCAACTAGCAGCTCAAGCACACGTACCTGTGGAAGAGCTGGGTGCTTTCTCACAAATGTAATTATTTTTCTTTGAGGTGATATTCTAATGAACAATAATTTTTTTGTGCGTCCACTCCAATAGTGTGATGCCAAAACTAAAAATGAAGTTATAAGGAACAGAAGTGTCTAAAAAAGGAGGGCTTCTCTAAGGACATGAAAGGACAGATATATGTGATTTCTGAGTTCCTCTATGACCTAGCAGTTTTCCAGTCAGGTCAGCATCACTGGCTGGCCCAAAATTTCTCTAGATAGATAAGTACAGCAACTGGAAGATGATGACATTTGCTGTCATCTGGCTGGAGTGACTAGCTGTCCCTACGTGGGGTTTGTGCAGATCTGGAGTAAAGGTGTGGGAAATGTGATTGTTTCATCTCTGCAGTTGTGTCGTGGTCCTTGTCCTGGGGAGAAATGATGCCAGACTTTCTGAGCAGCTCTCGGGGATAGTACTGCACAGTGATAGAGGCCAGTGAAGTCCTAAAAGTTTGTATCGGGATTGCCATGTAACTAGGAGAAGGGTGAATATTAAAACAAGTAAAAGAACTATTAGAGCAGTCATGACTCATTTTGGTGTATTTCCTCCATATCTTACTGGAAATCCTTATCAATTTTTGAAAAGTCCGAGCACAGAAAAAATGCTGAAAATACAGTATTTCTTTGTTTTTCAGGGCTACATTTAATCTGTGTTTTGCAGAAAAATGTCAGATTCTAGGTGCGAAACGACACTTTAGCATTTTAAACATACACAATAAAAGGCACGGAAGGATTCCTAGTATGCCTCATTTATTCTCACAAAAATGTTAGTATGAGCAGGCTCTGTGCGATAAGGTTGTTTGGGAAGTTAGTGGTGTGAGTAAGGTAGTAGTACCTTCAGCATGTGGTTTATTACCATCAGGAGCTCATTTTGTGGCTGTAATATTTATGGGCTCTAAGCACTCAATGAATGACATAATCTGCAGGGCTTTGGGTGTACAAAGATGATGTACAGCATGCAGTCAAGTCAAATCCTTAACTTTTTGTACATATTTCCCTCTGTGCTACCTTAAGAGACATTTTCAAACATTCTGCATTTGAGACGAAAAGAACTGTGATTTAGAAGAGAAGCATTTGGGCAGTTTTGCAAAACACCTTGCAGTTGTACAGTGTGACAGTTAGACTGAAAAAGCAGTGCCAT